CATTCGTATACATGTAAATTTCCGAACGACCTTAAATAATACAAGTTGACTACTTACTTCACACATTTTGCAGCTCATACAAGAATAAAGAAGACAAAAGAAAGAAGAGAAAGAATAAGAATTATGTAACTCCCGTATACATTTTTACAGTTGAAAAATAGCTTTGATGAGTTATATGAAGCTTTAATCCCGATATATATTCATATACTCGTTTCCCCTGTTTAACCAGAGAAAAAAAAACTTGCTTTGTGCATCTTTAATATATTCTAAATGGATTTGAATAATTTACATATTACAGTATATTGTATGTATATGTATTTAAGTACAGCTAACTACATTGTTAGGTTGATTTTCTAGGCATTATTTAGGTATAATGTATATATATACGAAATTTTATGCGTTCAAATACTGACGAAGAAACCAAAGCGCTGATTTCCGTCCGATCAGAACGAAATAAATAAACATTGTAACAAATCGGAGATGTTGTCAGGTTAATCATTGTCAATTTGTATTACATGTTAGATGTCATTAGTATGTAGTTGAGATGCTATAACCAAATCGTGTCGGTGACCTTATAATGAGATAATTTCAGTTGTTCTTCATCGTTATCTTGATTGGGGTTAGAGTAGTCCTCTTGTAGTAATATGGCTAAACCGAAAAAGCTCCGAAAAGTAACTATTGAGATAAGGACAGTACTGTTTGATCTCAGTGTCTATTTTCTGAGTTAGTCCTCGACACCATCAATCAAGTGTGACAAATACTTTAATTTTTGGTAAATGCGATATTTCAGGAATTCATGTGATAATTTGTGATTGATGACAAATCAAAGATCGCATTTGGTAACATGTCCCACATAATGTATCTCCACGCATGGACATGAGCATTCAAACAGTTTTGATGTAATAAATTACAACATAGTTAAGTTTTGGAACCCTATTTTGTGAATATAGTTTTGGATGACATAGGTTTAATATATATTAATAGGAAATGCTAGTTAAATATTTGTTTTTGAAGTAGTTAATTTTATCCAGAAAAGATTTTTTGATAGAAGAAAAACATACTTTTACATAGGATAGTGTACTATTCCCAGTTTTTATTGATTTTTTCCGAACCATTGTTAGCAAAAGTTGACTTTGCAGAATACTACATATAATAGCACCCTCTGAAACAGTGGTCACAGGTGTGCACATACTGTTTAGTAATATTTATAATAGACAAGCGTCTTCATATCATCGATGCAGGCTTAAGATACATATGGACAATGTGTAAACAAGGGACATATATATTCATGTCAGTGTAATATTATCTTCACAACGCCAACATACGCGATTGTCTTAATGCACAAAACTAGTTTTACTTTATGTACTGCAAATCCTTTGTTATACATTGTTGACTTATTAGAGTAAAGTGAAGGAAAAAATATATATTGTATTCTTCACAATTTAACAGTACACGAACATTTTAAGAACAAGATTAAACTGCAGTCGTATACATGTAAATCTTAAAATGACCTTAAATACTACAAGTATACCCGTATTCATTTTTACAATTGAAAATAAATAGCTTTGATGCGTTATATGAAGCTTTAATCCCGATATATATTCATATACTCGTTTTCCCCTTTTAACCAGAGATAAAAAAAAAATTGCTTTGTCCATCGTTAATAGATTCTAAATGGACTTAAATAATTTATATATTACAGTATATTGTATGTATATGTATTTAAGTACACTAAAATTGAGAATGGAAATGGGGAATGTGTCAAAGAGACAACAACCCGACCATAGAGCAGACAACAGCCGAAGGCCACCAATGGGTCTTCAATGCAGCGAGAAACTCCCGCACCCGGAGGCGTCCTTCAGCTGGCCTCTAAACAAATATGTATACTAGTTCAGTGATAATGGACGTCATACTAAACTCCAAATTTTACACAGGAAACTAAAATTAAAAATGATACAAGACTAACAAAGGCCAGAGGCTCCTGACTTGGGACAGGCGCAAAAATGCGGCGGGGTTAAACATGTTTTTTGAGATCTCAACCCTCCCCCTATACCTCTAGCCAATGTAGTAAAAACAAACGCACAACAGTACGCACAGTAAAACTCAGTATAAGAGAAGTCCGGGTCCGATGTCAGAATAGAAAACAAAAGGAAAAAAAAATGACATTATACATAAATAACAACAGACTACTAGCAGTTACTGACATGCCAGCTCCAGACCTCAATTAAATTGATTGAAAGATTATGTCTTCATCATATGAATATCAGGCACAATCCCTCCTGTTAGGGGTTTAATATTATACCGTCATAAAAATATATGAGAAGAACATAACCCGTGTCATGCCAACAACTGGTTTTAGAATAAATGTGTTTAATTCCGATGCAAAGACCCTATAAGTGTCTAAATATTAAAGCCAAAATATGCAATCTTTAATGACCTGACAACAGTATCGTAACTATATCCCTTCTTAATAAGTCTGTTTAAAGGTTTTGTTAGCTTTTGAGGTGAATACTGACATTTTTGTGCTTTGTAAAGAATATTACCATAAAAGATTGGATGTGAAATACCCGAACGTATAAGATGTCTACATGTTGAGTTATATTTACGAATGATGTCCTTATACCGATGATAAAATTTAGTAAATGTTTTGACTAGTTTATGATATCGAAAACCCTGGTGTAATAATTTTTCAGTAATACATAAATTTCTCTCGCTAAAAACTAATACGTTGTTACATACACGAGCAAATCGTACAAGTTGAGATATATAAACACCATAAGATGGTGACAAGGGAACGTCACCATCTAAAAATGGATAATTAACGATAGGAAATGAAAAATAATCTTTTAAATCATAAATTTTTGTATTAAGCTTCCCGTTAATGATATAGATATCAAGATCGAGGAAAGGACAGTGGTCATTGTTAGTATTAGCTTTATTTAAAGTAAGTTCAACAGGATAAATTTCTTTAGTATACATACTGAAGTCGTCATTATTGAGAGCCAATATATCATCCAAATATCTAAAAGTATTGTTAAATTTTTGTATCAGATGTTGTTTCGATGGGTCTTTGCTGATTTTAGTCATAAATTGTAACTCATAAAAATACAAAAACAGGTCCGCAATAAGTGGTGCACAGTTATTCCCAATTGGAATTCCGATAACTTGACGATATACGGAATCTCCAAAGCGAACAAAAATGTTATCAAGTAAAAATTCAAGGGCAGATATAGTATCAAAGCATATCCAATTGACATAGTTCTTTTGTTTGTTGCTACTAAAAAATGACCTAAAAGCGTTTGAACATATGTATTCGCATTCCGACTTTTTAAATGCCCATTTAATTAGGTGTGTGCATTTTTTCTTAATAAGAAAATATGAGGCAAAGTCGTATATAGGGTAGAAAAATCAAAACTTTGAATAGATTCAAAATCACCAATATATGCATGCAATTTATCAAGTACTTCCAACGAGTTTTTGACACTCCAAAAGTAATTAATTCCACTATTTTCAAAGGCCTTATTTGAACAATTTATTATCAGGTTTTTGATAGTACCAAGTGTACTAATACTAAACTGTATACGTACGAAATTTTTATGCGTTCAAATCCTGATGAAGAAACCAAGTAGCCGTTGGAAGCAATGCTTTGCGTCCGATCAGAACGAAATAAATAAAGATTAAGACAAATTAGTGACGCTGTCAGATTAATCATTGTTGATTTGTAGGAAAGAGTTAGGTGTCATAGTATGGCTATACCGAAAAAGCTCTGACAAGTAACTATTGAGATAAGGACATTACTATAATTGATTTATTTTGATCCATTTGGACAAAGTGTTTACTGCCTCGCATTCAGTTTATTTTCTGATGTAGTCCTCGACGCGATCCTACAAGTCCTTTTTTGGTAAATGCGATATTTCATGAAAACCAAAGATCACCTGTGGTAACATGCGCCACATAATGTATATCTGCAAGGATGGACAATTAAAGGGTATTCAGTTTTGATGTAATAATTTACAACATAGTTAAGTTTTGCAACCCAATTTTATGAATATGGTTTGGGATAAAATACGATTGATATATACTAATAGGAAATGATAGTTAATAATTTATTTTTGAAGTTGGGCGCAATTTTATCGAAAACAGACTTTTTAATGGATGAAATTACTTTTTTCTAGGATAATATACTATTCCAAGCTTATACCGATTGTTGCCAAACCATTGTTTGCAAAATTGACTTTGCAGAACACTACATATAATAACACCCTATGAAACAGTGGTCGCAGGTGTGAATATCCAATGTTTAGTATATTCATAGTAGACAAGGGTCTATATTTCGTAGAAGCAGGCCTAAAGTTATCCCGACTTTTCTGGAGTAGGAAAATATCGGATATCGAATCTAACAAATACAATTTCTATACATTTTTCCACGAATGCTAATTTCTTCTTATAAGAGATTATGACGATATGACTTAAAAGAGAGCCGAAAGCTACCAAATGAGTATTCAAAATCATAAGTTAAAAACAAACTGACAGAGCCATGGAAAAAAACGAAATACGAGGAAAAAACAACCAGTACAAAAAAAAACTTAATACTGAACAACACGAACCCCGTCAAAAACCGGTGGTGATCTCAGGTGCTCCAGAAGGGTAGGCAGATGCTGCTCAACATGTGGCATCCGTCGTGAACATAACCCAGATCGCAGTTTTCCCCTCTAATTCTGATTTGAAATCCGCTAGATTACTTTTGAGTGTTTTGTTGATGGTTCTTTTTCTCCTTTGTTCCTTTTTGGTTTTAAGCCATGGTATTGTTGGTCTTACTTCGACTTATAGTTTTGACTGCTTCCCTTGTATCTTCTTACCTATTTGAAAATACAGTTTGATAAAAGACCAATGATAATTTCATTGTTGTTTTATAAAAAATAATATTTGGTACAAATCTGAATTGTTCAAAACAGTCACATTTTTACAATAAAGGTTCTCACATATTTACCTCAGCATTAAATATCGATTGTGTAATCTGAAACCGTAATTGTTTTCACAACTGCTTTCTTTCGAAATCTACAGTACCATATACTTTACAAACTTCTTTGAAACATGGAATATTTATTTTAATGATGCTATCAAACGTTTAGGCACAACTAAATGTTTTATTGGTTTTTATCATGTTGTTTTATTGACGTAAATCAAACTGGTATTAAAATAATTTATAAATGAATGATATACATATACATATTCCAAATAATTTTATAACGCATGCATCCTTCAGTTTAATTCCATTGTTATATACAAGAAAAATCTACTACATTCAGTGCTATCATAATTCATCATTTTATATATGACGTATTTTATTTTTCACTCGATTAATGTAAACAAATATAATCAAAAACATCGAAAATAAGAAAAATGGCATTAAAATAAGCGTTGGCATTATTTTGGTTCAAGAAAGTATAATACTAAAGAATATATTTTCTTAAAGCTATCCATATTCTGTTTAAAATAAGCATTAAATATTTATCAAAATATGTAACATTCAATGAAACTATGTGCAGTACGTACAAATCACGAACTACCTTTATTAAAAACTGGCATGAATTTTGTAACTTCTCTTAAAGTGGAAGTAGCTGATTCTATGGTAAATAAAATGACTGAAAAATGTTTCTTAACAATATTCCATCGACCTTTTTGATCCGGGTCTTTTTCGATTTCAAACAAGGAATCCACCAATCCTGGGAAACTACTTCCAGCATACGTGTTTACCAGACTCTCGGCAAACAGTACATGCCTAGGGATGTAAAACAGAAGTTAATTAATAACAAACTTATTTGCTGGCTTTGTGTTCAAACGTAAAACCACTCCTTTCAAGGGCGGATCAAATCAAAGGATTTTAAACTGAAGAGGAAGGGCGTGTACATTTCCGATATAATGCAAAGTGTCGAGGTGGTGGACAAATTATCGCCATCATTTGTTATTTTTAATGTAAGCAACTATTTTATTTGTTTTTGAAATTCGGTGTAAATGAAAAGTGCGAAAAAAAGTATTTCTTTAATGGATCCTTATGTTATAGACATTAGTCCGAGTTCTTCTCCTGATTGTAACGCTCTACAACAAGGTGCATCCGTTGGCTGTGTGGGATGTATAAATACGCAGCCACGTTTATGGACCCTTGAAACAACTCTTTGAATAGTACATTAATTTCTGTCATGATTTCTTACTTTGAGTAAAGAGCAATCAATCAAGTAATTTTTACACTCTATTTCTACTTGCATGCTTAATTTGCGTAATTTTTTTCACAGTGTTTGGGGTTTTATGGTCATTTATAAAATATCGGTAATTGCACTCAAGATTCACAATTTTATTAGTGTGCTCGTGGGAAATAATCCCCAAATATAAAACTGAATAATAGTTTCAGTTAGAAACAATTTATTGGCGGTGAACTGTTTAATCACTTGAATGAAAGTACATGTGTTCCACCAGTGAGACAGTGCTAATGTATGAGTACTGTATAAACTCACCAGAGCTACCAGGCTTATCATTTTGTACACAAGATACACTTTTTGTCTACATAAGACTCAACAGTGGCGCCAAAATCAAAACAGTTGGAAGGCCAAATCAGTTACGAAATTGAAAAACTATGAAAACCAAAGGTTCCAAAAGTCTGTAACCTTTCCGAATCGAACATAATCATTATGCAACGGCTGATGATTGAAGTCCATATTGTTTAAATATAGAATTATTATAAGGACTGTGAAAACATAAGTAGAAAATATATTGACATCGTCAGTTTGTGATTTGTGCTGATACAGGTGCATGAGCTTCAGCAGACATTTCGAAATATCTAATTGTTTAATGATCAAAACGACATGCATCTTTAATAGTTTTTAATGATTTGCCAAAGAAATATAGGCTTAAAGAAGACTATAATTGAATGTCCATAAAATTAATATTTCTAAGGGGTATAACTCTTTTTAAAATATAGTTGATCGGCACTGATTTTCGAACTTATCCAAGACATTGCTGATATAAGTTTGATAAAAATCTGTCATACATTGTACACGTAGGAGCTTATACAATGCAATTTTTCTATATACTTAACCTTTGATATAAGTTTGATACAAATCTGTCATGATAGCGCTTACAAGAGCGGAAGAACGGACGAGCCTACCGAAGGAACAAATAGAAAAATAAGGGTTATGGGACTTATTTTCTTGCTACAAAACAGAAAAGAAAAATATACTACACATTCCTTATAAAAAGTTAGATTATCTGAGTTATCTCCACTTAAATGACTAAATTGAAGAGAAAACAAATAAATCAAACAAACGTAAATTCTTATCATAAAAAAACAGTTGTAATAATTGGATAAAACACATTTATTGTCTTTTCGGATGAAAGTCTTACAAATATATAACCTTTATCTCTCAAATTTTGTATAATTCATTGAAGATATAGACCGATTGTTTTCTTCTATTTTACAATCTCGATCTACTTAAAAAGGAAGATATCATATTTAGGTAAAACAGTAGTATATAATTAGCAGCGAAATAATATAAGTAAAAGTTAGATATAAAATACAATAGGTGTTGTTATAACAATCATTGATTAATAACAGGTAAAATACAGTCAGTATTTTAAAGCATTACATATTACCCTTTAAAAATTAGAAACAAAAATAAAGTATTCGTAAAATTGTGTTGATATAAAAAAGAATTTAATATAAAAAATAAATAAAAAAAAAACAAAAATTGAACACTTTATACTTGCAAAATTGTGGTGAAGTAAATACTAAATTAATAATAAACAAATAGACAAAAAATCTAAAATTGAACACGTAATACTTGAGAAAAAAAAGTTAAAAAGCTATTTTATTTGTGAACTTTTATGATAACTTTCGCTCAATACAAGAAAAACAATGACATCAACAGATTAATTCGACATACAGTATTGCTCCCACCTGTACCAATGTAGCATGTAGAGGATGTAGATTGAATGGATTGGAATACATAGAAGAAAATAACACGAATATCAACAATTTAGAGTTAACTTTACTGACTATGTCACAGAATACTGGGTTGAGGGTATCCGCCACCTTTAGAACCAATACCATGATTACGAAATAGTAGACCCAAGAACAAGCAACTATTTAGAAAAATGGCATAGTCAGTCTGTCAATGTATTTGAAAGAATCTATTTGAGATATCATTACATATTTTGATCATATATTTTATATTATTCATGAGAATGACACTGGTATATATGATAAATTTCATATGATTATTCCTTTAATAAAATTATATTTATGATTTTATAACACTTAATCATTTACAAATTATTCAACCTATTCCAACAATTTTTCATACAATTTCATACCTAAATTTCAAAATGTTGGCATAGGCTGAATGAACCATACAATACTTTTAACATTATTAATTTACCTAGCATACGGTCGTCCAGGAAGACCTTGTGGATCTAAAAAGGATCTTTCAAACAATATTAACTGATCGTTTATATGCCGAACTTCTAGAGGACTGAAATAAAACATGTCAAAATAAATATATGTGAGAGCAAATTCATTCTTATTACATAAAAAAGGAGAGGTGATATGAGTGCCAACAATACTTACTATCCACCGTAGACAACGTTGTATAGTCTATACACATACAAAGAATTACAACATGTCATCGTGATTCGATTGCCTATCATAATTTACAATGTATTCGATAATCTTTGCTGAATAAATCCTTTACATGTTTCTGAATTTTATATTGTCGTGTTGCCAACAACTTTGAAATTGTTTAATTAACATAAATCATGACTTACTTATATTTATTTACTTTTGTTAACCTGCTTTTGAAAGCCATTGCCTCTGTTTTAAGATTGTCTGTCACCGTTTTTAAATCATCTAAAACAGAAAATAAAGAAAGTTGACCATACCAAATTTGTTTATTATTCATTTTTTATGCTGAAATCCTTTACTATTCAATATAACTTACACTGTCACCACTTAGAACTTTTACCATAGATTTGTTTATGTTTTGAAAAACTCATCATAGATACCAAACTTAAGACTTTGTACGCCGGACATGCGTTTCGTCTACAAAAGACTAATCAGTGACGCTCAAATCAAATTAAGTTGAAAAGGCAAAATAAAGTACAAAGTTGAAGAGCATTGTGATTTATATTTTGCTTTAGTACTCTTCAAGACTAATTCAGTATACTTCAGTCATAAAAAATAGGATATATATGAGAAAGTTGTACATTAACAAAAATAAAATCACATACTAGTAATTATCAATTTCATATCAAAGTACTACACCAGTATTGAATTGCTTCCGAATGGTTTCCAATGAAAACGATTCAAATATTTAAAACTTATAATCACTGCAATATATTAATGTATTGAATAAAAAAATCGGAAATTCCAATTTCTTACCAAAAGTTATACTGTGATTTCGCAGCATTGTTCCATAATCGTCGTCAAGGGTATTTACCAGGGAAAGCAGTTCCATTGCGAAGTTTACAACATCTAATGGAATAACCATTGTATCGGCTAAAGCCCTTGCCATCTCTGCCCATACCTGTCCTGTGGCTTGGTGATGCTGGAATTTAAAAGAACGCATTTGGTCTTTAATACGAATATTTTTTATCAACATGACCAATTCCATGAATATAGCATACATCAACTAACGTCACCTTTTATACATAGCCTTTATAATATACAAGTAGCCAGTTGCCAGTTCATTGTCCCACAGACGTATATAAAGGCAACAGTAGTATACCGCAGTTCAAAAGTCATAAATCAATTAAGAGAAAACAAATCCAGGTAACAAACTAAAACCGAGGGAAACACATTGACTTTAAGAGGAAAACAACGGAACAACAGAAACACTGAACTGCAAAAAAACAAACGCCAACATACATAGAAACGGACTATTTGATAACAACTGCCATATTCCTGACTTGGTACAGGACATTTTAAGAAAAATGGTGGGTTTTACCTGGGTTTTAGGCTAGCAAAACCTCCCGCTTTTATGGCAATGTTAAAAAAAATATCGCTAAAATGACAATACTACGTGACAGGAATACAGTACAAACAAACGCAAGAACACTCAGCACAGAGAAATGCATAAATAAATAATGTAATAGTACATTACAACATGCAAACAGCAGAATAACAACGGACATCTCCCATTAACGACAGCACAGGACACCACAAACTGCGCGTCACATGAATAGATCAACGCCACAAAAAGTGACGTATCTTTGTGATGTCTATATAATCTTGAAATTCATAAAATTATATAGAACGAGATTAAAAAATTCACAATTATTTTCACAATACTAGTCCAAATTATTATCATGATGGGAAACCACAATCTAAGACGTGGTAAAAATGTCGTTAGTTAGTTAAGACACAGACACATCGTATAGATCAACTTATTCGTGATGTTGTCCTTAAAATTTACGGAGTGTCATTTTTAATCTTTCCTCCTCATAACTCTGTTTGGGCAGTTTCCGCGTAAGGAGCACACTCCTGTATATGAAGTCCGTATAGTGTGAACATGCACGAGCATAACGTATCAATTGAGATATGTAAACACCATACGACGGAGCAGAGGGTATGTTACTGCTGAGAAATGGGAAATTGATAATTGGGAAATTGAAATCATCCCGTTTGTCATAGATTTTAGTGTGAAATCGTCCATCTGTGTCTATATTGAGAAAAATATCAAGGTATGAAACAGTCCTTCTAGTATCAGTAGTATCCTTAATTGCAAGTTCACTGGGATATATGAGATTTAAGTACTGACTGAAATATGGGTAAGTCAATGATAGGACATCATAAATATATCTGAAAGTAAAATTAAAGAATTTCGCAAGGTGCTTTTTCTTTTTGTCTTTTAGAAGGTTCTGAATGAATTTTGCTTCATACGAATGCAAAATCAAATCGTCCAGAAGGGGTGCACAATTAGTACCCATTGGAATACCGACTGTCTGTTGAAATATCAATCCTCCAAACAAATATATTGTCAATAAAAAGTCCAGCATTTTGATAATATCATCTTCAGTGTATTTTCTGATATAATCAGTGTGGTTCTTCACAAAATAAGAATGATTATAAGCCAAAACAAGAAATTTATATCTACAATTCAAATTTTTATAGAAAAAGCTCTGTTTAACGATATGGTGAAGTCGATCTTTCAATTGAGCATGGGGAATAGTAGTGTAAAGCGTAGAAAACTCGAAGGTCTTAATGTTGCTGCAAAATTGCAGAGATTGTGCCCTTAGATTTAGCAGTAGATCTGTAGAGTTTTTGAGAATCCACATCTGATTGACACCACTGGTTGAATATATCTCATCACAATATTTTTACTTTTACTGTAGAAAGAATAGTAGTCAGCATTTTACAAGGCTGTTTAGTATATACTGGTTTAAATGTATCTGATTGTCCTATACCCCACATCATCTTTTGCTTAAACACAACATCTTACCTTGAAACCCCGGTCCATGATTTCATCAACAGCCTTAAAAGTTTCATACTTTGAATGGTACAGTGGATAGGAAGACAACTGGTACTTGTTCTATAATGAAAAAAAATATAGGTACATCATCAGGAAATAAGAACGAGCCAAATTAAGGACATAAATTTATATTGTTATCTTGATTTTTTGTTGTATTACTAAAAGAATAAATGTTAAGGAAATATAAGTATTAAGAATCTTCAATGTTAAATTTGAATTCGGGGAAATCTATAGTTGAGTTGTGATTTGAAAAGGAGGCAGAATGTTCAATACATGAAAAAGGTAAAGCTTATGTCAATCTTAAGTGCACCAATATGTTCTGTTTTAATTTCGATTTGTTCTTCAAATGTTTCAGATTTCAAAGAAGGCTTTGCAAGGTGCATGCCTTGAGCAAATTGTAACAACTTATTTTAAAAACACGTATGTCTCCTAAGTAAATTACTTCTTTGGTTTTATTTGGCACTTCTTTTGAGAATTTTCGGTTTTTAATGCGCACGTCTGGCGTACAAAATTATGAGCCTGATATCGTAGATGTGTTTGTACAACCACTAGGTGGATACCAGTGCAAGTGGACATTTAGTCCCCTTGGGTATCATCAGCCTAGTAGTCAGCACCTTTGCATTGACATGAACTATCTTTGATATGTTCCTGTTTATGTGAATTGACTGTTTATGAAATCTTGAATTATTTGAAACACTAAGGTTTTATACCTCCGATTGCCTTAGCCTTATTTGGAACAACTTTTTTAAATTTTCGGTTTTTCTTAAAGTTCGTGTCTGACAATATGGGACAATGTAATGACTTACAGGATCGAACGTATAACGGATATCACAGCTGGGTAATCCGATGAGAAAATGTAATGACTAACAAGATCGATTGTATAACGGACATCACAGCTAGGTAAACTGATGTGAGAATGCAATGACTTACAGGATCTGATGTATAACGGACACCACAGCTGGGTAAACTGATATGAGGATGTTATGACTTACATAATCGAACGTATAATTGACACCAGAGCTGGGTAAACCGACGGGACAATGTAATGACTAACAAGATCGAACGTATCACGGACATCACAGCTGGGTAAACCGATGGGTTAATGTAATGACTTACAGGATCGAACGTATAACGGACATCACAACTGGGTAAACCGTTAGGACAATGTAATGACTTACAGCATCGCACGTATAACGAACATCACAGCTCGTTTAACCGATAGGACAATGTAATTACTTACAGGATCAAACGTATAACGGACATCACAGCTGGGAAAACCGATGGGACAATGTAATGACTAACAAGATCGAACGTATAACGGACATCACAGCTGAGTAAACTGATGTGAGAATGTACTGACTTACAGGATCGAACGTATAACGGACATCACAGTTGGGTAAACTGATGGGACAATGTTATGACTTAAAAGATCGAACGTATAACGGACATAACAGCTGAATAAACCGTTGGGACAATGTTATGACTTGCAAGATTGAACGTATAACGGACATCACAGCTGGGTAAACCGTTTGGACAATGTAATGACATACAGGATCGATCGAACGTATAACGGACATCACAGCTGGGTTAACCGATGGGTTAATGTAATGACTTACAGGATCGAACGTATAACGGACATCACAGTATGGTAAACTGATTTGAAAATGTAATGACTTACATGATCGAACGTATAACGGACATCACAGTTGGATAAACTGATGGGACAATGTTATGACTTACAAGATCGAACGTATAACGGACATCACAGCTGGGTAAACTAATAGGACAATGTTATGACTACCAGATCATACGTATAACGGACATCACAGCTGGGTAAACCGTTGGAACAATGTTATAACTTGCAAGATCGAACGTATAACGGACATCACAGCTGAGTAAACCGTTTGGACAATGTAATGACTTACAGGATCGAGCCAACGTATAACGGACATCACAGCTGGGTAAACCGATGGGTTAATGTAATGACTTACAGGATCGAACGTATAATGGACATCACAGCTGGGTAAACCGTTGGGACAATGTAATGACTTACAGAATCGAACGTATAACGGATATCACAGCATGGTAAACTGATTTGAGAATGTAATGACTTACAAGATCGAACGTATAACGCACCTCACAGCTTGGTAAACCGATGGGGCTATGCAATGACTTACAAGATCGAATATATAATGCACATTACAGCTGGATAAATTGATGTGAGAATATAATGACTTACATGATCGAACGTATAACGGACATCACAGCTGGATAAATAAATGTGAGAATGTATTGACTTACAGGATCGAACGTATAACGGACATCACAGCTGGATAAATTAATGTGAGAATGTAATGACTTACAGGATCGAACGTATAACGGACATCACAGCTGGATAAATTGATGTGAGAATGTAATGGCTTACAGGATCGAACGTATAACGGACATCACAGCTGGATAAATTAATGTGAGAATGTAATGACTTACAGGATCGAACGTATAACGGACATCACAGCTGGATAAATTGATGTGAGAATGTAATGACTTACAGGATCGAACGTATAACGGACATCATAACTGGATAAATTGATGTGAGAATATAATGACTTACATGATCGAACGTATAACGGACATCACAGCTGGATAAATTAATGTGAGAATGTAATGACTTACAGAATCGAACGTATAACGGACATCACAGCTGGATAAATTGATGTGAGAATGTAATGACTTACAGGATCGAATGTATAACGGACATCACAGCTGGATAAATTGATGTGAGAATGTAATGACTTACAGGATCGAACGTATAACGCACATCACAGCTGGATAAATTGATGTGAGAATGTAATGACTTACATGATCGAACGTATAACGGACATCACAGCTGGATAAATAAATGTGAGAATGTAATGACTTACAGGATCGAACGTATAACGGACATCACAGCTGGATAAATTAATGTGAGAATGTAATGACTTACAGGATCGAACGTATAACGGACATCACAGCTGTATAAATTGATGTGAGAATGTAATGTCTTACAGGATCGAACGTATAACGGACATCACAGCTGGATAAATTAATGTGAGAATGTAATGACTTACAGGATCGAACATATAAAGGACATCACAGCTGGATAAATTGATGTGAGAATGTAATGACTTACAGGATCGAACGTATAACGGACATCACAGCTGGATAAATTGATGTGAGAATGTAATGACTTACAGGATCGAACGTATAACGGACATCACAGCTGGATAAATTGATGTGAGAATGTTATGACTTGCAAGATCGAACGTATAACGGACATCACAGCTGGGTAAACCGTTTGGACAATGTAATGACATACAGGATCGATCGAACGTATAACGGTCATCACAGCTGGGTTAACCGATGGGTTAATGTAATGACTTACAGGATCGAACGTATAACGGACATCACAACTGGGTAAACCGTTGGGACAATGTAATGACTTACAGCATCGAACGTATAACGGACATCACAGTATGGTAAACTGATTTGAGAATGTAATGACTTACAGGATCGAACGTATAACGGACATCACAGCTGGATAAATTAATGTGAGAATGTAATGACTTACAGGATCGAACGTATAACGGACATCACAGCTGTATAAATTGATGTGAGAATGTAATGTCTTACAGGATCGAACGTATAACGGACATCACAGCTGGATAAATTAATGTGAGAATGTAATGACTTACAGAATCGAACATATAAAGGACATCACAGCTGGATAAATTGATGTGAGAATATAATGACTTACAGGATCGAACATATAACGGACATCACAGCTGGATAAATTAATGTGAGAATGTAATGACTTACAGGATCGAACGTATAAAGGACATCACAGCTGGATAAATTGATGTGAGAATGTAATGACTTACAGGATCGAACGTATAACGGACATCACAGCTGGATAAATTGATGTGAGAATGTAATGACTTACAGGATCGAACGTATCACTTACATCACAGCTGGATGACCTGATGGGATAATGTTATGACTTACAAGATCAAACGTATAACGCACATCACAGCTGGGTAAACTGATGTGAGAATGTAATGACTTACTGGATCGAACGTATAACGGACATCACAGCTGGATAAACTGATGGGATAATGTTATGACTTACAAGATCAAATGTATAACGCACCTCACAGCTGGATAAACTGATGGGGCAATGTAATGACTTACAGGATCGAATGTATAACGGACATCACAGCTGGGTAAACCAACCATTTTTACCATTGGAGCATAATCACTTCCGGAACCAACACCACCAACACTAAAACAGAATTGAAATTGAATTTACACTTAATTATGGTTTAAAACATTACATTAAAAAATCTTGCATAAAACATTGGAAAATGAAGATAATTTCCACCAATCGTGTATATTAAACTTACCGAGGAACACTGTTAGGGTCACTGCTATCCTTTGGAAAAGATGCCTTCCATTTATCATAAACAGTTTTATGGATTTCAGTGGAGTCTGGATTAGGGACCTGGTTGTAAGTAAATACAATGTATACTATAAACAATATTTATTTAGATAAATCATCACATAACGATATAATACAATTGAAATAAATATTCAGGATTCAGAAACAAGCAAATTTGCTATTACAAATCTGTCTCCACTACACAAATAATACATTTATTGAACAATACATGAATATGAATACTGGCATGCTCTGTAATAAATATATAAATATGAAAAGGTGAAAAATACAATAGAGAAAAAACATAAACATGAATTTTTGTAATGTATAGTGTGAAATGCTTGGGTTCTTATTGAAAGATGAATAAGTAACTTAAAGGGTTAAAACGTTTGCTTTTGATAATGTATTTCTGCACCAAACTAAATAAATGACTATTTTGCTCATCTAAGAGTACCGTTGATCCAAAAAGCAAAATTTGTGTGTCAACTTGGACAGGAACTAATAGTTCATGTCTTAAATCGGTGTATATGGGACAAGATAAAAGGAAGTGAGATTTTGTTTCTACATCACCATAACGACAGTGTGGGGAGTCTACTAAATTACGAAGGAATAGGTGAGAATTCAATGAACTTGAATCCATTCTTAAGCGAGCATGAAGAATTTGACCAAGACGATATCCTACATTGTAATACATTGGGACCTTACTATTTGGGGTACGAATTTGTTTTTTGAATAATTGATTCACATTTTCTTATGTATAGTATTAGAAATGATTAACAATATATCTTCTTCATGTTTTCCATAGTTCAATTATTAAAATATCTAAGCAAATTTGTCTGCCTGGACCACGAACACTGCTTCCATCATTCACTGCGCCGGATTAGCAAAACTATTATAGCCAATTTCAATACGAAGATATCAGGAATGATATTTTTAAGACTTTCAGATTTCACACACTGGCTTATCCATAAACGGTGTTGCATGTCAAAATAAATAAATAAAAAAATCCAAAATCTATACAGAATAACTACATGACACCTTATAAACTGGAAGCAGTAGGCGAATAATTTAAATATAACTTACATTCTGAAACACTGATAAGTTGCATGTACACGAAACGCGCGTGTGGTGTACAAAACGATAAGGCTGGTATCTTGGATGCGTTTTCTAAACTTACTATCAGGAACATGATTGAAGCAAATACATTGATATCAAATATAAAATATTCTAGTTATCTCTGAATTTTGAATTACCATCTACGCATTTATTTCTGTATTATAAGTACCTTTTTCGTAGCTGAGAAAATGACATCATACAACAGTGGAGTCGACAGCGCCCTCAGAGAAAAGTTACCTGTATTAAAAATATAAATTTCAGCAGCTAGAAACTAGAAGTTATCATTTTGCACATCCATCTACGAATTATTATATACATGTATTATCATAAAACTGTGCCGAATTAAACAGTTTTTAGAAACTTTTTTGCAACCGTTCGACAGTCCAATTGGGCATCTGCATGATGCAATTCGAAAATGTTTTGAAGATGTAAGCCAACCTTGGTTCGTAAAGGAATGAATGTTTCTGTAAAAATCTTTAATATAAAAACAAGGAGATGTGGTATGATTACCAATGAGACAACTATCCACCAAATTTCAAATGCAGTGGATGTAAGCAATTATAGGCAACCGTATGGCCTTCATCAATGAGAAAAAACCCATACCGTATAGGCAGCTATAAAAAGTCCCGACATGAAAAATGTGAAACAATTCAATTGTGCAAACTAACGGTCTAATTCATAACAAAACAATTTACGAAAAAAAAATATGACTGTCTGTTATCATGCAAATATTTGCCATAATACATTGCAAATTTGGCATTTGTTCTGAGTACCACTCGATAAAAACTGAAAACTGTAGTACAATACCGACTCGTAGAAAATCAAATATTCAAAAGGCTAAAGGTTGACAAATATAGCAGTAACTCAAAACATTTTGGTATCAGGAACTCCAAACGATGTACTGTTGGGTGTCACGACAGTATAAATAAAGGCAACAGTAGTATACCGCTGTTCAATAGTCATAAATCGATTAAGTGAAAACAAATCCGGGTCACAAACCAAAACCGAGGGAAACACATCAACTATAAGAGGAAAACAACGGAACAACAAAAACAATGAACTCTACGTAAACAAACTCAAACATATATAGAAACGGACTATTTGATAACAACTGCCATATTCCTAACTTGGTACAGGACATTTTAAGAAAAAAAAAGAGTGGGTTGAACCTGGTTTTATGGCAAGTCAATCCTCCCGCTTATATGACAATGTTAAAAATGCCGCTAAACTGACAACATTACGTGACGGGAATACATTACAAATAAGCGCAAGAACGCTCAGGTCAGAGAAATACATAAATAAATAATATAATAGTACATTACAACATGTAAACCACAGAATAATAACGGACACCTCCCATGAATTTACGACAGTACACCAGGAGACCACAATAGAATTATAAACTGTGCGTCACACGAATGTATCAACGCCACAAAAAGTGACGTATTTTTGATGACATTTATTTTATCACAGGTAAATTTCTAAAAATAGAATATAAAATTGGGATTGAGTTTGTAATGGTGTAATTATTTGTATTTTATAACCATGTCGGTTTTTCTTCTATTTTACTATTATTACTCTTCAACTTCGTGCTTTACTTAGCATATTGACTTTTTGGGTTCTAGCGTCACTGGTGCGTCTTTTATGGACGAAACGCATGTCTGGTGTACAAAATTATAAGTTTGGTATCATTGTTGAGTTTATGTTACCTAGCTATGCATGTTACTCTTTTTGAAACCATCATCATGTCTAGTAATATGAGTCAAAGAATATGTTATAACCGGTTATAGACCCCACGATTAGACAACTAAAACTTTGTTAAATAATACATTGTATTGTAAAATTTTATATGTTTTGACTGTCTTGTGGCCAATTTCAATTATGGTCCTAAATGATTTAGATTATTTCCTACCTTTTGGTTTCAAACATATCATAGCATGATAGTTATTTCAGAATATGCGGATCATACGAAGTCGAAGTCAAATCGGTGTTATACGTTAATTGACTTCTATAAGCCTACTAAAAAATGAAATAATATATGGTTGTAAATTGCCACTGTAATTTGTTATCCCCTTTTTGTATCATTTCCACTGGTTACCATCTCTTTCTAGACCCGAATGTATACCACTATTCACACAGTAGCAACTGATTTGATACTATCACATTTTCAGTGATATTTTTTATTATAAATATTTAGTTGCTTAACATTGTTCTTGTACTAAGGTTACAGGTCTCTAAATTATAAATACATGGCAAAATCCGGAAGAAATTAATCCCGTTCTCTATCATGTAAACTTTCCATAGAATTTTTCATTTTTTTTTCTTTTCGGAAATCATACTTATAAATCGAAGTTTAGTTTTTTTTTTTTCTTCTTTTTGGTTTAATATTAGCTCTTTTGTTTTGATTTTCCTTATTTTCCTAGGCTATATGTATCAGGGGGCAAACATGTTTCATGAATGGCAAAACTCCATCGCTTTGCATGGAAACAATTACTTGTATCCATCGCTTAATTGGTTAAATATTTATAACGAGTTTTTTGTACTCAATGCAATGTTTCAAATTCAAATTAAGCATATTTTTTTTTTTATTTTTTAAATCCTGAAATTTAAACATTATAATTTTAATTATTTCATGCAGTTGTTCAATTTTCATTTATCGCTTCTTTTTTGTTTCAACTTTAACGTTACAAGATTTAGCGATCAATAGTAATAATGTTTTGTGTCTGTTGACGATAGAGGTGGGGGTCTAATCGTGACATCCCAACAGCCAATGCAGTTTGAAAACGCAAACGACGATGTTTCAAAATAACAAATGATTGAACATCAATAATGATGAACCTTGAATAATAACATATAAATAAATGACTAGAATGGTTAGAATCATAAATTTACATGACTTCTCTGCTTTATCGCTTTTTTTTTCGAACGCAATCTTATATAATTAAGATTATTATAATTATTAAAGGATTGGTACATATTTTTATTGCAATCTTGATATTTAGCACTAACATATCATACACAATCAACGACTTTCTATTGAGTTGCTACTGGTCACATACCTTGCAAAGCTAGATCAACATTTAGATAAGCAAGTGATCTCTCCGCTAGATTTTTTACATATTGCTGAAATAAACACCAAAAAAAACACATATATGTTAAGTTTAAAGCATTTATGTTCATCCTAGGATTTTGTTGGATATTTGTGATGTTTTGTTGTTGTCTCAAGTTTAATGATTTACGGAATTTTCTGTTGATAGCATATATTTGATCATTTCCATCAAGTGTATTCGCAATTGTTTTAGACTCGGACGAGTAAGAGCTTTATTGATATATTGTATACACATCTTTTTGTTATTTCACGGTGTCGTTGGATTACTCTAACATTGATGTATATCCCTTCTAATATTCATTATGTTTGTCTTTACTTTTTACTTGAAATTTTTGTGTTTTCTGTCATTTTATTATTTTCTTTTTACCTCTCTTTGCTCTTATAATTCTGTTCAGAAGATCTGCATGCGCGTGTTAATTTGTCTCAGTGTTTCTTTTAAGTCACATGACTATTATTCTGAGAAAATAACATGACATAAAACACAGAACATCACAGTTAAGTAAACATACCTCAACCCATTCTACAGAACCAACTAAACCATATTCTTCTGCTCCCCAGCTACAAAATATTATGGACCGACGTGGTCGCCATTTGTCTGAAAACGGTATATACTCATTTTATACTAACTACAAGTAAGAATACTAAAGGGTTAACGGAAGTCGTAAATCGAAAGAACGGACAAGACCCTGACTATTTCAAAGAGGAAAAAACGGTGGCAACTATTCATAAAATATATATTTTGTTACTCGTGTTGAAATCTGGTAAAAAGTAACTTACAATGTATCATATAACGGAAAAACAGAAATGTAGTTCAAACGCTATATTTTTGTTTCGTTATGGAATTGCTAATCTTTAGAAATGGTCAAAATATACAAAATATTTATTGCACCAAACAGTATAAGCTTAGACAGAAACTATTGCAGATAATATCAAAAACTGACTTACTACTTTTAACCAGTTGTCCCATGACACGTGACACCTCCTTCATTACAGCTGTACCACTGGAAGGATCAATTGAACCAAACACCCAAGCGTCTCTATGGTTACCCAAAAGTACGTATCTGTCTTATAATATACGCAAAATTTGTAAATAACATAATATGTTTTCACCGATTTGATTGAAACAAGGTAAAATATATTTATAAACAATAAAATCATATATGATGTACAAATTTTAAAATAATCCGATAAACAAAACAATGTATACCTGGTTCAATAGCTCCCCTTATTATTCCAATAACATTGTAAGTATTGACTCTTTTATTTGCTGTAGATATCCTCATTTTGACTTTCCTGAAAGTAGAAATTGATAAGAATAATCTCCGAAAACATTTATTCCTTAATTGGTTAATACTGAAATATCATATAGAACAATTTCTATTTTTATATTGTAAATCTTTCATGCAGTCACATGTAGCGACGTTTTTACGTGAGTAGTATCATACATTTTTGCCATCTGGTCGTGCTAACAAGGCGTAGTGTTTTATATATTCTTAGTGAGGGTTTTGCTTCTCTTATATTCATATTATGTGATTTTAGTGTTATTATTTCCCTGTCGACGCACCTGGTTTCGCTCTTTTTCAGTTCATGTGATTCCTGCGGATTTTGTTTGTTACCTTGATTTGTCTATACCAGATCGATTTGGTAAACTACTGTCACCTTTCTGCATTACAAAAAAAATAAAATATTTTGGGACGAAATTAAATAATACATGTGTTGGATAATGCCAAACTCTGAACGCACAATGACAAAACTTATATTGTTGTGGGACGTTCGTTTTGGTATGCAGGTTTTACCAATATTACGCCACAACCTATTGACCATGCGGGAACTGTTGACCATTTGGTCGGGGTTCATGTTGTTTTATCTTTAATGTTCTGTGTGGTGTTTTAGTGACTTGTTTTTTGTTCATCCTTTTTCTTCTTCTGGTGTTGTCTCTTTTTCTTCATCATGACATTTTGGTTTCACCTTGGTATCTTCTTTCTTAATCTATATATACACAAATCTGTCTGCGGACGCTGACTTCAGATGACTACTGTAGAAGAATTAAGTTTCAAGTATATATTTTAACGACGAATCTCTACAAATACTAAAATGCACATTGGTAATAATAAAAGCGTAAAATTTTATAACTATTGAACTTGTTACCATGTTGAATTACTCAACTGTCCACCATATCTGTAAGTGACGTTTGGTACATCACCTTCCCACTCCGATGTAACATTATCACCAGTCATCTGTCTGTAATCAAATTGTAATCTCTATCATTCATTCAAATCCTTCGATTGTTTTTTTTTTTAATTTTATTTTCAAATACTGCGTATTTGTTTTGAATAGGGAGAGTTAAATCATTATACGTTAGTTTTGATAAAACAAATAGTTTATTCCGACACAGTTTTAAATAGTAAAACACTTTATTATAAATCAAATGTTGTAAGAATGATCTTCTTACTTGTTCCACTCTTCCGCTTCAAATAATATATTTCATTAAAAGTAAAGTGTCTACACGTACATGAATTATCATGGATATGTTCATATTCAGTAAATTTACGGTTTATAATATGATGCATTATACGAAACTATAAGGTTTTGTCTACCACAAGCATAGATTGCCTAGTCGACTTTGATTCAATTTTTTTTTGGAATTTTCTGCTTTGAATGCTCTTCAACTTCGTACTTGCTTTGGCTTTCCGACTGTTTCGATTCGAGCATCACTAATGTGTCTTGTGTAGAAGAAACGCATGTTTGGCGTACAAAATTATAAGCCTGGTATCTTTGAGGAGTTGTTTTCCTACTTTATTTGCTTTTGAATACTCGTGTATTGAATTTTTCGCCTTTTTACAGTTTTTAAAATAGTATTATTGACGTTTCTATTCTCTCATACTTATGTGCTTTTATTTATACTCTTGGCATTTTTACTGTGTTGTTTGTGACGTTGATTTAAGAAATCTACTTCAAAGTACATCGATCGATATCTGAGTGTGGGAATATATAAGTGAAAAGGTAGTACTTCGTCCTTAGTGACTACCAGCATTGTTTAATAGGGTAAATAAATGGCTGTATTTCTTATATCTCTTTCTTATCATCTGTAAAACAGATTTTATTGGGTAAAGTTTTTTTTAATCGATTGTACACGTTTCTTTTTATTTTTCCTTTTTCATTGAATAAGATAATAAAGGGAGGGTTGAGTTTTAACAAAAATAATATTTTAACTTGCTACAAGATCGTGTGCCTGTCCCAAGTCAGGAACCACAACCTTTTTGTTGTTGTTTCTTAAGGTTCATGTATTAATTTGATGGTGTCTATTTAATTATTCCTAACTTGTTCAGATTTGGCGATTTTGAGCTAGATATAAGCATGACTTGACTATCATTGAGGTCAGTATGTGACTCCTGGATTTATTACAGGATATGGTGTATCAATTCATGACAAAAAAATACTACATGCACACAAGAACAAAAAACAAATGCAAAGGAAACGCGCTTTTTATTGGTGTTCTCCATCACAGAGATATCTTAAACATGAACAAAACCTCACTGAAAGTTCAATACGTCCCTTAACACAGGTTAAAGCAGAAGTCTTAGTTAGATGCGGATCAAGCTACTTCTGTGAGTACAATAACCTAGCTGTCGGGTGATATGAACACATTATATCTAACCAAGAATTTTAACAAATACAATAATAAATAGCCCGACAAGACATTACGACATATGTTTTAGGGATAATTAAAATAATATTGTAAATATTTGGTGCATCCGAAGCGCTTTTCTGGATTATCCATCATCAGAAAAGCTCAAACACAAACATATAAACGCTCAAACACAAACATATAAAAGCTAAAGCTATATCATTAATACTTCAATACAAACGCAAACATATAAAAGCTCAAACACAACCATATAAAAGCTAAAGCTATATCATTAGTACTTCAATACATGAGGAATTATATGATGCAAAAGGACCTTAAAAAAGAAAATCCACCTTAGGCCAACTTTGCCTGAGGGAGTTTCTTAATACGTTCTAAATTTTCAAAGGATAATTTACGAAAGATAGGTCATAGATCATGTCAGTACCGAAGCATTGACTACTAAGCTGAATATGCCATCGGGGACTAGCCAGTCCACAACCAGTGCTAGAAAAATAACTCTTTATAAATTTGGTGCGTCTATACTTCTATTTTTGGAAGGGGAAATTACGTATAAATGGGACATACGATTCGGATTGACTGCAAACAAATTTCAATAAAAAATCTTGTTTGGGGCAGTGACATATTGTATACATAACTCTGTTAGGGGTGCTGTGCAATATTGTCAACTGGTATATCTTTCTTGATTAATATTTTGTGTTTGTCATTTTTTTATTTTATTATATCAATTATAAGTATTTGGCTGGACGTTATAAAACTTCAATTTGTATAGATCAAACACAGAGGAAGTATTATTCAAAGGTCGAACTTACTGCAGTATTTTTTCAGCGATGCCGTATCCAACAGGGTGTGTTATAATTTTTGGTAAGCCAGCTTCTGGTTCATCCTCTCCTAGACGGTATGCAGTCTCTAATAGTTAAAAATGTATATATATATAAGGGTGTCATACAAGTATTTTAGGGTAGCAAAAAAGATATATTTGTATAAACAGCTAAACTAGTTTAATTGAGTACACTCCCATTATATCCCAATCAGCGAAAAAATGCATTAAATGCTATTATAGTCAAAACGCACAACATGAATAAAAAGAAACCCACTAAAATATTAAGTACACTAATAGTATAGAATAAGAAAATACAGCTAAGCAAAACTATAATATTAGACCGTATTAAAATGCGTATTGGTACTAAGAGCAATATAATATACAAGTGGTTCTTTGATTGATTATGTTCTATTGTTCATCTATATCAATATACATTGATTATAATAAAATGCAATCTTACCCTTGTGGTGATCCATGAATAGTTACTTAATACATGGAAAAAGTATGTTCGATGAAACTAAGAAGGTTAATTCTTTTTTAGCAAACATTTTCACCTCCTCGTCCAATCAACTCGTCCAATTTGCTAGGATGAGGAGTTATAAATATATACTAAATATACATAGCGTTTACAAGTCATTAAAAAGAGGCAAAGATACCAAAGGGATAATCAAACTAGTAACTAGAAAAAGAACTGACAATGCCATGGATAAAATCGAAAAACTGCGAAAAGACAAACAACAATATACAAGACCACTTAGAAAACCAAAGACTGGGCAACACGAACCCCACCAATAACCGGGGGTGATCTCAGGTGCTCCGGAAGTGTAAGCAGAATCTGTGAGTCATTCGTCGTGTTGCTCATATAAGTACAAACCCGGTGATACGTATAAATTGGTAGGTCACATGCGAGGAAACGTGGACGGGATTGTGGTTTCGACAATTGTGTCGTCATTTGTGAAACAGATATTCCATAACGATCAACCAACTTGTGATGGCGTCCGTAAAAATTTCGAAGGGATGATTTTAACTTGGAACTTTTGGTTTAAAAGCTTCCTTGAACGCAGCAACCGTCTATCAAGGAAATAATGATAGAGAATGCACGTTCTGGATTATCGTATCAACTGGGAGATTAACCTCCATATGCATGTGCTGCTGGAATGGTATAAGAACAATACAATGTAGTACAAATAGCATTAATGGTACCAGTTTTACTGCACCAGATGCGAATTTCGACTATTAATAACTCTGCAGTGATGCTCGAGGCCAAAATATTTGAAAGTCAAAACATAATACAACGTTGAAGAGCTGATAAAAAGCAAAAAGACAAAGTAAAGCCAAAATGGGAAATGAAACAGAGCTATGCATGAGAGAGATACATTCCTTAATTTAAAATAATATCGAAATTTTATCACAGCAAATTTAAATAAAACAATATCCGTATTTGCATGCCAGTTCCAAAGTACTAGCTACTGGGCTGTTGATACCCTCGGCGTCTAACAGTCCAACGGCAAGATATCGACTCAGTGGTAGTAATAACATTAACGGTTCCATTTTTACTGCAACAGATGCGTCTTCCGACAATTAATGTCTTTAAAGTCGAGGTCGAAATATTTGAAAATCCAAAAAATAATACAAACTTCGAAGAGGTGATACAACCAAATAGGACAAAAAAGGCAAATCAAACCCAGATAAGAAACCAAAGCTATGAATGTATGCATGATGTATTTTGTAAAACAACCATTCGTGGCATTTTTTCCTGAATTATATTTTATTTTTATATGATTGGTTAATTGTACGTGTCGTTCTACTACCAAACAAACAAACAAAAAAAGAAATCATTTATCGTTTACTGTTGAACTCATTGATATTTATCGTATTTTATGGTTGTTCAAAATATTTTGTGATAAGTCATTACTAAGAAATCATTATTTAAATACACGTATTGAAATTAAGTGTCATTGCTCTATATAGATGATTGATACCCATATCATATTTTTCGTGCAGAAATTCAGACTTGTCTTAAAACAGGTGATTTCTTCAATAGAATAAATCATACAAATACATTAAAATTTAAAAAAATGATACAGAAACAACAGATATTTCTGTATTTGCTGGTAAAATTTCTTTCAAATCGGACAAGAAATAGCTTTAGAACAGGTTTTAGAATGTTCTTTTATATAAAACATATAGCAAAATTTTGGAGTGGTGAAACACTTTTAACTTCTGACAGCAAAATAAGACGGTACCTGTTGCTGGATAGCCAGGCGTTAAAGGATCCCCGGACCTCAGAAATATTGTTCCGCGTTGTGCCCCTGATGCTGGGAGCCACCAGTCATGAGGATATACTTGTGAACTATCAGTTTGTCCCATAGCATAGTCTGCTGGGTCCGAGTATAGTATAATTCCTATGGCCCCATGCATATATGCTAGATTTGCCTGCAATATAAAAAGAAAATGTGCAAATACAATATCCTCTTAACTCAACTGCAAGATTTACTGAGAAGTTTAGTATCGCGAAGGCTTTTAAATATCCCAGCTAAAGGCGCAAGTGGTTTCTCTCATGATTAAACAATTCCAAACATAACGATCCTTAGAGGTACTTCATTTTCAAACTGTACAAGACTTTAAGTTTTCTATAAAAATGGAAAAACTGATAAAAGGATGTTTATGGCAATCTTACATGCAACGCTAGTTCTCACACTGGACTGAAGCATCTTTAAGATTGAGTTTTTAAACACAGACCACAAGGATGTAAAAGTTTGATACTTAAGTTATGATTTAAAAAAAAACTCATACGGATTATTTTACCTATTACCTCTTTTTCTATACCCAGAGTGAACCTTAAAGACCCTGCATTATGAAACAAATATATATGCGGCGGTCATTTTTTTACCGCTTGATATTTTGGGGGTCACTAATTCATAACCTATCACTTGTTGTGACTGCAAGCTAAGAAATGAATGTCAAATAAAAAATATTTCTGCAGTTTATTGTTGGGTTATTGTTTCATTTTCCCATATCTTTTTATTTACATTGTCTTCAGATTCAATATACGTTACACGAGTTCTTACTTTATCTCCTCGAAATATCTTCCCATATCTTGCAATAACAATTTTCCCGGATACATTTATTTTTAAACTGTCTAAATGAGTATAATCCTCAACTCTTCCATAGTTTACATAAATCAACTGATCCTGAAAAAAACCGAAACATATCATATTTTTATCATGAATTTATACAGTCAAAATAGTCAAAATATTCAAGCTATCTAAAAGTAATTCATTTGTTACTGAAATATGCACTTTCAATACATCTTCTAATGGTTTCCTTGTATCTTGTAATATTACTTTCGCTACATTGTTAAAGTGTGAATAAAGTTTTGAACGAACAAACTTAAGTTTATACTGAGTATTAGTCTAGTGATATATTACGTTTGAGAAAAGAATGAAGATTATGAAAGTTTTAAGAGATTCGAGTGCAAGTGATACACACGATAGGGCATACTTTGCAGCAAGTGCAAGGGCGCTGCCTCCTCAAGATCAAGTCGCAGAAAAAAATTGAGAAAATTCAAAGGGAAAATCAAAAGCAATTTCATCAACAAAAACAAAACGACTATCAACAGTCCACAACATTCGACCAAGAAAACTAAGAGGATGAAATGGTGCATGGAAGTTTAAGGGTAAGCAATCAAAGTATAGTAATGCAATGTTTAAGAAAACCCTAAGGTATGCTATGTCAAATCTTTTTTTATCCAATTAAAACTTATTTATTGTTTGAGAATTAAACGTGGGTATCCTTCTAATTTTTACTTTTTCTGAAAAATAAAAAACTCGGCTGAAATCTAATACAGTTTTTTTTTAAGATAACTGTAGGACACATATTATCCCTTTTCGAACATTTATCAGAATCTGTAACTAAGAATTCGTATTTTAAAATGGATAGTTAAACATGCAGAGATTTATCCTAGATATCTGTTGGTTTTTGTGTCGTGTGTGGTCGTCTCATTGGCGTATACCCATTATATCCCAACAGTCATGTACACAAAAGAAGTAAGAAGATATCCATGGGGCCTAAAAAACATAAATCGAAAAAAAAAACAGAATAAGCACCACGGCCAGAACAAAATACGAAAAAAAAACAGAGTAAGCACCACGACCAGAACAAAATACGAAAAAAACGGTACACATAGCTCTGCAAAGAACTTAAAACCGAGTAACACGAACCCCCTCCAAAAAGATACCACGAAAAGTCATGCCACTGATGTCATAAAATTTCATCAAAGATACCAGGCGTATGCATGTATACGCCAAGCGTGTATTGCGTCTACAGGAGACTCACAAGTGGCGCTCGAATGAATATAGTAGGAATGCCATACCAATAACAAAGTTGAAGAAAACTGAAAACAAAACAATTCAAAATGTACTAAATCTGCCTTCAGTCATCCATACCTGGGGTAGAAGCTTTTTTACATTTGTTGAACAGTTCATTTACAGAAATTTTCAGAAATGACCACATCTCAATGATAATTCATGTCAGCACAGTAGCGTTGACTAATAGACTGGTAAGACCCTCGAGAACGAGATGGCCACCAGTAGTGGCATCGACACAATGGTAAAACTCATCAAATATACCAGACTCATTATTATAAAGTAAGCCAGATGCGAGCGTATTGTCTTTATAAGACTCATCAGTGGCATTCAAATAAATCAATTGGAAGGCCAAATCAAAAACAAAGTTAACAAGCATTGAAAACCAAAAGTGATTAAAAAAAACAATGTGGCTAAGGTTATCTATACTTGGAGGTAGAAAAGCCAAGCTTCGAAAGATTCTAGCATTTAATCAGCAGTTTATTTACAAAATAATGATTCATTTCTCATTGATAAATTCATGTAAGCACAGGAATGCTGAATACTGGGCTATTGTTACTCTCGGAGACGAAACGTCCACCAGTAGTGGCATCGAACTAACGATTGTAAAAATTCATCAAAGTTACCAGGGGTTCTTTTCACAAAAAGATCTTACGACAAAAATTGATTAAAGTTATACTGAAATGTTAATCTCTCGTAAGTTTTTTTGTGAAATTGATTGCAGACTTTTAATTTTGTATGACAGATGAGCGTTTCGTCTTCACAAGATTAATCAGTGGTGATCGAACCATAACAATAGATAGGCAAATCAATTAGCAAATTGAAGAGCATTGAAAAACAAAGATTTAAAATAGTTTAGTGAAATCTGGCTTATTGCGTGTTTTGAAGATTTTAACATTTCACGAATCGTTAATTTACTGAAGATGACCGTATCCTGACGAATATCAGAAACAAAGAAAGGATATTGTCAAGTTGATTCTAACAAAAAAAGATAACGATGACTGTTGAAATACACGTACTAACGTAGAAATGTGTGGTTTATAAAAACACATTCGGGTATTTCATCAAAAGTTTACTAGTATCAGAGTAATGTTCACAAATAATGATGTGTAACTTCTTATGATTGCATTTTTTTAAAAGTAAAACTGGCATATTCTTTAATCGGACTAAAATTAAAAATTGGTATGGAGTGGGATGTCAATTGTTTTATATTATTACACGAAGATTAAAATGTTTAACATTTCATAATTGTGATAAATAATCTGTAGTGGTAATGTAATTTTACAAGTTTACCCTTGAACGATGAAATTTGATCTTTACCCTTTAACGATGCTTGCATGTGCTTCTATATGTCACAACACCACTACACTTGGTATACGTTAAACCAACAAAAAATACTCAGTCACATATGCAGACATCAACATTAAAACAACAGTACAGTGTTTTATTGACCATTCTTACCGATTCAACAGTTCCTGGTTTAGAGTAAGCATTAAAAGGTGGAACAACATTGGACTTGTTTTCCGATTCATCCAATATATCCTCATATAATGGTGATTTATAGATGATATCGCCGGTACTGTTGTCGACGATCTGTATCTGGTTCATATTATCTTCGTCTGTTGTATTAGGATATGACAGCAACACGTCATATTCACTGATAAATACCTCGTCTAACCCATTGTCTGTCCAAAACTTCCGTAACTTGTCGGCTTGTTCCCAGTCGGCGGGAGTGCCAGCAAGGTGAGGATTTTCTGATAGGTCTCTGGAATAACAGAGAAGACAAAAGTATTATCTAAGATCTTCCAACTTTCCTGGTTAAAAATACACCTTGGAATAGTAAGCCCGTTCACATACAGTAGTGAAAATTTGAGGAATTTTGCCTTTGTATGCAAATGCAAATATGCAATGAGTTCACATAGTTTATATTCCAGGGGTGTATTTGTATAAAATGTTATGGCCATACAAAGTATTTATATTTTTACATGATTGAACCTGAAAGTGGAGTCATGTTATCTGAAATTTGAAATGGACACATATGACCAATACTAAGAAAATGTGTGTGCTTCCCTTTTATATATATCCAGGTACAAAACGAAGCTATAGGTTTATTTCGCCAAAAAGAATCACTAGACAAGACAGGGAAGTGGGTGGTGGCCGGAAAGGCAGGGTTCTTAAAGGTGATATAGTTTTCAAACACAGGGTGTCAGATACATACACATTTCCTATTAAATGTGCTCTTGTTCCTTCTAACCTAGGACATTGGTGTAACAGTATACAATAACGCAAACTAAAAACAAATATAGTTAAAGAGATGCTAGAATCACTAGATCGGTGTGTGTATATTTTGCTGCAATCCTATTTAAAAGAGAGACGAAAGATACCAAAGGGATATTCAAACTCATAAAGCACAAACTGATAACGCCATGGCAAAAAAAACGACCAACAGAATACAAAACTAAAGACTGATTAACACGAACCTCACCAAAAACCGGGGGTGATTTCAGGTACTCTGGAAGGGTAAGCAGATCCTGCTCTACATGTGGCACCTGTCTTTTTGCTCATGTAAGTACAAACCCGGTGATAAGTGTAATTCGGTAGGTTACATTCGACAAATAGAAGAAGGGATTGTGGTTACGAAAATAGGAACATATCCGTCGTTATCTGTGAAACGGTCAACCAACTAATGATGGCGTCCATAAAGTTTTCGAAGGGATGGTTGCAACTTCGTCACTTGGAACTCTTGGTTTAGAATGTACCTTGTGAGCAGCAATCCTCTATCAAGGAAATTATGATATGAAATGCAAGCTCTGGAATATCGTATCAATTAGGAGATATATACTCCATATGCAGGCGCTGCTAAAATGTTGCAACATAGAAGTGGAAAGTTTATAAGTGGGAAGATGAAATAATCTTTTGTCGTAAAGTTTTGTTCTCAACTGACCCCATTGTCAATTTCTAGATGTAAGTCAAGATATGAGGCAGACTTAACTATATCTGGTGTATCCTTTATTTAAAATTCGACGAAATAGATGCGGTCAACATAGTCATTAAACTTTAAATTATTTATTGAGAGGTTATCATCTATATAGCAAAAAGGGAGGTTAAAGGATATGAAACAAAGCAGGACCAATTCTTTCAATTTGTATTTTAGTTTGGAATGTGGAATATGTCTGTAAAGAGTAGAAAAGTCAAATGTTTTAATACTATAGCACGAAGAAAGAGACTTAGATTGTATGTACCCTAACAGATCTTTAGATTTTTTAGTATCCACTCTGATCTACGCCACCCCTAAAGTAGGTAGTTTCACAATAACTTTAAAGCCCGGCTTGATTGTTGATAAAATTGATGTTGATAATTTAGATAGACTCAGTAGTATAACGTTGTTTGTAAGGTCACTAATGTAATTTAGGTATCCAATACAGTGAAGGAAGATAACGTTTTTCATCTTTGGTTGAAATTCCAGAACTCAGAACAGTTCTATGATTATTCAGGATTTCCTCCTTGATTAGTGTAGTGGGGGTATATGTTGAGTTTCCAAGTGAATTGTCAATACCTTATGTAATTATCAATCAGTTAATATAATGTGATTTACACACAAACGATATTGTTAAGGGCATTTTCTGCGGGGACAACAGCATATTTGTCATGGAGGGAGGACAAGTGCTTTGTAATGTTTTGGTCTTTAAAGATCGATGACGCATGTGTATTCATAGACCTATTCATTTTTTAATTCTAATTTGTATCAACGACCTCACAGCCTTAACCCATTCGGAAAGAGTGTCTACGTCTTCTTTTAAAATGAGTTGAGCCCATTGCCTGGAATAATTCTCAACAGAATCCATCAGTATTTTGAAGTTGTGTTTCCAATTGATGGATTTAGGCTCGCGATATTTCGGGCCTTTTGATAACACATTTCGCAGAGAAATGTTAATGACAATTTTCAGGTCATCAGTAATAACTTGGCCAGTTGGATTATATATGAATGGGGAACAAGCACAGGTGCAATCAGGAGGTTATAGGTATAAGAAATGATCTTTAAAGTGAGAAGGTATTTTCGATATTATAATCTTCAACTAATTTATGATGAAGGATACTGCCAAAGTTCATTGCATTGAGACCTTTGTTGGCAAAGGAAAGTTTTAGAAATAATCCTGTCCCCTTTAGATCTTTTCCACTACTTAAGGTTATAAATTCAAACGCTAGTTAAGAATTGAATGCTTCTTTTTGTTATTTTAGAGCGGTGGAAAGCGATGACTAAAGCACATTTAGTATGAAGAGCGAGTGCGATCAACGCTTCTACACCCCTATTAAATTACAAAAAAAGAGAAATGTTTAAGTACAATTTTATGCTATAATCATTGAAATTACGAGTCAAATTGATCTGGTCGTCTTTTTTATGCATTTTTGTAACATTGTCAATGAAAGCACGTGCATATAGATGTTGCATCTCATTGGGAAATAAAATATAATTTGTGAATGTCTCGCGATTCGGATGTCTGCCAATCAAAATTACAGATTATGAATCATCTCTGTAATGTAATTATTGACATGTAAATAAGATGCATTAGGTCTTCTTGTGCTTAAAATCCCAAATGTAGATTTGAAAAATGGGTATATAGGATTAAAAAAATGTCAAATTACTATTTTAATATCGAAATCGCCGCGTTCAGTCCGATACCTTGCATAAAAAGATTGTGACACCGGAATCAAAGCGGGCGGTAGATTGACTACATTCAATCTGTTTTGAAGCAAATATTAATGATTTTGAAAACATGCAATGCCTGTAATACCTTTAAGTTTTACATAAAAAGTCTTCTAGTATTAAAAGAGTTTGATTTTACTTCGAACTGTACATGTTTATTAGCTATGTATGTTGTTCAAAGGGGCATTAGATGTCAAATTCGTGTTCACCGATTTGACTCAAATTCTGATATTTGATTTATAACATACTAAAACGTATATCCAAATTACTACCAATATTTATAAAGTCTAAAATAAACAATTTACGATTCATGTACTCGTTAATATGTATCAGCATTTCGTGTGTATTTTAGTCTAGACGTCATCTAATTAACCATCGAGGTGACCTCCGAAGACGGCGGTCATATAAACCCGATATTAACATAAATATAGATATAAATAGAAAGTGAACACGTGCAATTGGATTTTTCTAGGTCTGTTTGATTTCATATTATAGGTTAAAAAATATGTTAAATCATCGTTGTTACCTGTATAAGAATGAGCTTTTGTGGATCGAATCAGTCAACCAAATGGTTTACCATTGCTTCACTTTCAATGTTGAAATTCTTTTCCTTTTAATAGCTGAAAAGCCTAGTTCATGCGTAATCCATCACTATTAAAGGTGTTAAATTGAAGGTCACAAGAATACGGATTGAATGAGGTCGAATTATTAACTTGCAAGTGAATAATTAATCAGCGATGTTTCTTATCTTATTTTGACAAAATTGAACCAAAATGACTGCTAAAAGCGAATTATTATTTCACTATTTGACTTTCATAAATGATTAGACCAACAAAAATCATATTTTTTTATTATTTTTTTTTTAATTTCTCCTAGCCAATGCCCCTTTAATGTATAACACTCCAGGGGATATTTATAATTTGGCCTCGTTTAGGGATAAAAGACCAGTTAAAAAGTCAATGTATACAAATAAAGGAGTATATTATCTGTACATGGAGAGTAATAAAATAGAAATTTAGATTGTGTTATAAATTATATCACACAGAAGACCGCCTTCGAACTCTTCATGGCCTGAGTATATATGTAACACTCAGAAACGTGTCCATCCCCCCAAACGTGTCCAATTCCCCAAAACGTGTCCATATGACGTCAATGGACTGCAAACATGTCTAATTGCCAAAGGGCGCCAAAAACGAGTTCTGTTTATGAACGCCCGATTGTGTCCATTTTTTAAAAACGACCAAACGTGTCCGGTCCCCCAAAACGTGTTTAGTCCATATGAAACCCAAAATTCAGAAACCACTTCTGCAGGAAGCCGGTCGTGCAATACCCTCATACATTATAAAGATATTTAGGCATCATCGGAGTTTATTAGAATAAAAAAATCACTTAGAAAACGATGATATAAACTGTACAAAACTAGTTAATTGCAATTTTTATGTTTGCTCTAAATACGCATGAAATATTTGCCAACAGACATATAGCAATCAACAGTCAATAGTTAATTATGTGTTTCAAATTAAGCTTGCAAGTATGCTAAATATAAATAACCGGCGTTGAACAAACTAATGCTAATAAATGACCACTCCATTCACAGTGAAGCACTTAATTGTGAAGTTCCTACATCTAATCTAAAATTTAAAATAATGATAATCATATTCATAAAAAATCAATAAAACCGCTTCAAGTAAACATGACTATTATTGTGCCATTCTTTAAATGGTGTCTATTTATTTGAAAGCAGAAGTCACTGTGCACAGTGTATCTTATCTTGGACATGTGTCTATACAGATTACTACACCTTTCCTCCAGATGTCCTTGGATAGCTGCTTCGATTGTTTTTAGAATCTAACCGAAACCCGGCGCATTCTATCGTGAATTGCCGAAAACGTTATTGACTTCATTGAGGACATATTAGTGCTAAAAGTTTTGAGACGTTTTGGCGTTTTAAACTTGACACTTTTTGCCGAATATCTTTTATCGGACACGTTTGGGGGTGTGAAATCGGCCACGTTTGGGCGAAATAGACATGTTTAGTGGGAATCGGACACGTTTTTGGAGTGTTACATATATAAAGGTAAGCTCGAGTGATTTAGAAACACCGTCTTACATTGTATTATAATTTCTATATCGCTCTGTTATAATTAGGACCGATGCATGCTTTGATGAAGTTCAATTATTTTATTGCTATCCACCATAAAATCTATTTTTAGAGTTAAAGCACTGTAATCTGTCTGTGTAAAATTTGGTTTTTATACATCATCATCGACATGGATTCACTCTTTTTGTAAAGTTCATGAAATTTTGTGTTCTCTATGCACCTTTTATCATTCAAAGTACATGTATTTTATTTATTCACCTCACAAGAAAGGCGTTCGAATCCAAATAGCTGATGGTTAATTTCATAAATCATTTACAATCAGATGAATGTACGTGGGAGATTGTGGAATACAATTTATTGCTTTACTACACCTGTCATGTGTGTGTGCTGAAAATTAAACAAATATCCCCTCTATATAACAAGTGATTCCTCCTTTTTACAACTGCAATAAAAGTCACTTATTCGATACACATCCGAATTGAAAGTTAAAAAAATAAAATATGGATGGGAAAAATTTAGAATAATTTGATGGAAAAACTTTTGAATCAATTTATACAGTTCATAACGAGGGAACAGTGGATATAGCATAAATGATAGAAACACGATCTTATTAGCTTCAATATAAAAATAAACGAGCCTATTATCTTATGGTTGAGGCCCGAGTCTATTTTATTTCCCGTATGGAGACATATTTCTCGTATCACATTGAACGAAGTGTGATATGAATAGAGTGATGCGAAAAATTCGTTAATTAATCCAGCAACGTTTCAACATTGGTTATTTGTTAGGTCAACGATGACTTTCTAAGGTCGCAACGTAGATTTGTGGTTTATTTAATAATATACAAAACACTTTTATATTTCGCCTGAAAATAATCTTTTTATCAAATTTGATTATAATCTGAAGCACACAAATTGTTTGAAAACTGGCGTCTGATATAACAGTGGTCTGGGTTCTTGACAATATTTTAAATGCTGTAAGCGCATAGACATTTGTCACTGAAAAAAATAATTACCAATATACGTTAACGAAGTATTTTTTTCAGAGACAAGTCCCTACATGTATATAAGCAGACTTATATTTGAAGTGAAGCTTGCGAAATCGAAATATTTCACAATAATTTTCTTTGACTGTTTGAGAAATAGGATTAACAACTTGTGATTATTGGATATATCGCTCGTTATTTAATCATTCAAATTATAAAAATGAACTCGCTAATTGCTCGTTTATATTATTATATTAATATCATGCAATATCCAAATTCTCTCTCGTTATGAAACCTATAACTATCGTACAAGAGATATTTTTCTTTTTTATCTGTTGGAGACAATAGAATATGCGTTAGCTTCTTTGTCAATATATCTGCTTGAAGCTGTGTTTTCTCGTTTGAATTTTTGTAAATTTCCTCATGTCGCTGACTTACCAAACTTTATGGGTTTTGGACATTGTTGAAGTTGTACGTTGACCTATACTTGCTTACGTGTAGGTCACTTGGTCTCTTGTAAGCTGCATGGTTGTCCCATAATCAATCATATCGCATCATCTTTCTGTTAATATCAAAATGTTTTCCGTGTTTCTGTCAAAGACATTTTGTTTTTTTCTTACATTACTATTTTACATTTACATCTTCTTTATGCATCACATTATATCGTTACGTAATGATACTTGGTAAACCTGAATTACCACTTGACCCCTAACCCCAATCTCACATTTTATATCTATCAGGTTTGCTTCTCAATTCGGTCAGTCACTAGGTTCGGTTGATACAAGGTGATTCGTCAATGATGGACGGTAATGATTACATGTATGTATAAATACGTCCATGAGGGCGTTAGCCCGATTGTGTATTAACCGCAAGGTTTTATGGTTATTGGAAAATGATAGATTTCAATGATGAAGGGAAAAGGGGTTGTCATAAGTAATTTAATTATATGTTGAGGTAACGCATAATGAAGACTATGCAATTTAAAATTGAGAATGGAGATGGGGAATGTGTCAAAGAGACAACAACCCGACCAAAGAGCAGAAAACAGCTGAAGGCCAACAATGGGTCTTCAACACAGCGAGAAAATCCCGCACCCGGAGGCGGGCTTCAGCTGGCCCCTAAACAAAAAATGTGTACTAGTTCAATGAAAATGGACGTCACACTAAACTCCAAAACGTATAATTGAACTAAAATTAAAAAAAGAACATACAAGACTAACAAAGGCCAGAGGCATTTAATGACTTCTTGGTGTATGTTTAGAAACTAGGAAGAACGCTTGATATACAGTTATCACTCAATTGAATTGGTGTTTTATTGTAGTTGCCCAGATTATCCGGAATTTCTAACAAATTATCTTTCACCCGTATCAATATTACATTTACACTTACATGTATCTGTGAATACCTATGTTTATACCTTTAATGTGTTCTTAAAGGTGAGACCTCCTTTCCATTTCTTTTCTTTTAGAATAAACAAATGAAACGAAAATTTATTTTAAAAGGGTCGCCATGACAATAAGAACGACGAGAAATAATCCAGTTCTGTTTTACATTGAATGTTTGTTTAGTCGAGCACGCCTGTATCTATAGCGTATATATAGCGTCAAAAATAAATTCTAAATTTTGGTTTTACGTAAACTGTTGATTACTAACCATAAAAATACAAATGATTAAACAATGGGTTTATAGTTTAACAATAAAAGAGTATCCTGTTTCAATGTAAATAATTAGAAATAGATTTTTTGTTTTTTAGAAAGTATTTAAAAATTAATTGTGTCTCGTAGTTGACTTGTTTACCATTGACAACCTAACTTTGATTAAAACGTAAAATATATTTGAATATAAAATATACCGTGAGACTAAATATAGTTTTCGTTTCCTTTTGTAATCGAAATGAACCGATTTTTATGCTTTGTTCATTGTAGGGGAAATACTTACCTTAGATATTCTCTGATATTGTCTGCTCGAATGCCATTTATTATCTCCTCGCTTATTTTGGGGTCACCATCTTTTATGATAGAATCTGAAACACCTGGTAGAAATGTGCCGTCCTGTTTTGGAGCATCTTTCTCCTCAGGACATGTTGCATATCTTCCAATCAATATCCCTATGACAAACCCTATAATGATTGCCACAGCACCACATATCCAGATCTTTCTGTTAGCGTGGCGGCGATTAGCATCCTTAAACATATACTCATTAGAATCCGACATATCCATAATTGATTTTTATTCACAGAAGATATGACAGACAGGATCTTAGTCCTACCGGTGTGAGTGTACTTTATATGTTTACACGTTTATTGAAGAAGGCTGTTTAAATTTTACGGTGCATTTACATTTATTAACACGTAGATTATACGGCGCGTCAATGTATATAAAATAGTTTATTTGCTATAATGAAATGTATTATAAAAAGTGTGTTTTCGTTTCAATACATTGCATCCTAAAACATGGTTTTATTAAGTTTTGTTGCGTGCTTATTGTCGATCTGATGAGTCAAGCCTTTTATAATTAATTTTAAGAGTTTTTTTTTTCTAGCTTTATGCTGTTATAACACTGTACCAGTTTAGGGGAGGGTTGAGCGCTCACACTATGAATAAGGAGATGTGATATGATAGCCAATGAGACAGTTATCCACCAGATACCAAATGACGAGGATGTAAATAACAATGTGGCATTCATCACGAGCTTTGACAATGAGCACAACCCATATAGTATGCAGTAAGCTATAAAGGGCCCCGGCATGACAAAATGTGAACCAATTCAAAAGAGATAAAGAACGGCCTGATTTACAAACACAACTTACCACACCACATTCTTTATGTGCCTGTCCTAAGTTAGGAGCCTGTTTAATAGTAGTTATCTTCGGTTGCTGTTTTCCTCGTTTTGTTTTTCGTTTGTTCTTTTAATCATAATCTAGGCCGTTTTCAGAAATTAACATGTGCTCATGGTCAGAAATAAACATGTGCTCATGGTCAGAAATTAACGTGTGCTCATGGTCAGAAATTAACATGTGCTCATGGTCAGAAATTAACATGTGCTCATGGTAAGAAATTAACATGTGCTTATGGTCAGAAATTAAAGTGTGCTCATGGTCAGAAATTAACGTGCTCATGGTCAGAAATTAACGTGTGCTCGTGGCCTTATTTTTTAAAGCCTATACATAATTGATCTTCAGAAAAATATCACTATATTTTCCTTATCTATATTCTAGTTGTAAACATTAGTTACAATATTTAAAAAAAATGTGTTTCTTTTTTGTTCGGTACATGTATATTGTTAATCTCCAAATAGCTTCAAGTGGATATAAACATTTCAAAAACAAGTTTTCTTACAGAGATTGATGACGGACAATTATCTTTCACTATGTTGTTATAATTATTATGTCCTTTCCTTAATGGCGTTGTTTTATTTTCTAGCTATTCTATTTATTTTCATTGGTATTTACTTCATGCTTGATTGCAGTAACGTCTTTGGTATAAATGAACTAAAATTATAAAATCTAGAATTTCGATCTCATTAATTAGATTATGAAAAAGTATAGAATCTAATGGAAGTATGAATCCACTTTCAAGAATATAGGAAAATATATTTTCCCGCTCAGATGTTTACGTTCCGTATTCACGGTCCATCTTGACGTCTTGTAGTAGATGTCAATTAACTATTTATTGTTTGGCTGATGTTTCTTTGTATTTACTTCATATAAACTCATTTTTTGGACAACTTTATAAAAATAGTTGATGTTTGAATTTCAAGCTTTTTCACTTGTTCCTATGTAAAAAAATAAAACAGATTTTCTTCTCCCTTTTGATGTGTCAAGCTAACTTTTTGGTTTCTATTAAAATCACAAGGCAACTGGATTAGAGATCGTTTTGTACTCTTTAAAACATCAAGAGTTGTGCCTCTTTGTACACCTAATTTACTGCATTCTATTCAGTACTGAATATAAAAATAAGAAGATGTGGTATGATTGCCAATGAGACAACTCTCCGCCAGAGACCAAATGACATAGAAGTTAACAACTAAAGGTCACCGTACGGCCTTCAAAAATGAGCAAAACCCATACCGTATAGTCAGCTATAAAAGACCCCAAAATGACAAATGTAAAACAATTCAAACGAGAAAACTAACGGCCTGAAATATGTAAAAAAAACAATAAACGAAATTCAAATATGATATACAGCAACATACGACAAACACTGAATTACAGGCTCTTGACTTGGGACAGCCACATACAGAAACATCAAGAAGGCTACAGGGGCTGATGGTATTCCATCAAAAATAGTAAAAAAAATGTAAATCTTATATATTGCACCACAGCTGACTATTCTTGTAAATTTGTCAATTGAAAATAACTGTCTCCCTGATTAACTAAAAGTAGCCCAAGTAACCCCTTCATAAAAAGAGAGCCTCATTATTGAAAACAAATTAACTATAGACAAGTTAGTGTCTTACCCATATTTTCTAAAATCTTTGAAAAAATATATGAAATTCAACTAACTGAATACTTTGATAAAATATTTAATCCTTTTTTGTGTGTATTTAGAAATGGACATATATGTCAAACCACACTACTCAGAGTGTTAGAAGATTGGCGTGAAGCTCTTGATAAAAACCAGTACATTGCAGCGGTATTAAAGAATCTTTCTAAGGATTTTGACTGCCTGCCCCACAATATCTTGCTAGATAAATTATCAGCACATGGTGTTTCCCCCCATTCTGTTGCTCTTTTAAAGTCCATTTTTATCAAATCGTAAACAACAATTAAAAGTCAACAATGTTCTGAGTGGTTCTGATGCGTTTAACGTATTTATAAATGATATTTTTCTTTTTGACAAAAATGGTAGTTTATATAACTATGCAGATGACAATACTCTGTTTTTCTGCACTTCAGATTTTGACTTTTTAATTTCAACTTTGGAATCTGAGTCAAAAATACCTATTGAGTGGTTCCAGGTGAATAAAATGCAAGCACATCCCGACAAGTTTCAAGTTTTGGCTGTTGGCAAAAAGACCTTTGAACAAAATCCTTCTATACATATTCAAAATTCGAACCTTACATGTGAAAAAACAGTTAATTTATTAGGCATTGAAAGCGATTATCAGTTTAATTTTGAGGTTCATATTAGCTCGATCTGCAGGAGGGCCTCAAAGCAACTAAATGTTTTAAAACGTTTGGGCTCTGTTTTGGATAGACTTAGTAAACTTACTAACTTACTAATGTGTCAAGCTAACTTTTGGGTTTCTGTTAAAATAACAACGTATAAACTGGATGAGAGATCGTGTTTGTACTCTTTAAAACACCAAGAGTTGTACCTCTTTGTTCACTTAATTCTTTAAAAAATCTTTATTTTTTTTTTTCAATGCTACATGTTTATATTGTTTAATGTCTATCGTTTTGTCATTAATATGCCTGTCTGTCTGTCTGTTTGTTTGTTTTGTTTTGGTTTTGTATTGGTTTGTTTATTTAGTAACAATCCTATTGTTTGGATTTTAAACTAATAAAATTCTTATTCTTATTCTTATTTTTAATTTACAGCATTCAAAATAGAAAAACAAAGGATATCCATCCATGACACAAAATCAGTCCATGCTCAACAAAAAACCCACAAAAAGCAAAGAAACAGCGCTTTTATTGCTGTTATTACTTACTGTTCAGCCTAATTTAAGAAAAGAGGAAGTTTGATATGGGCATCGGCTTGTTGTCAGGAATGCAGCAACAACACAGTTCAACAGTATGTTTCCAGTCCAGATTTTGGAGGAACGTGCCCTATATAGAATCACCAAAACTCTCAGACTGTTTATGACGTCTTTACACTTAATCCGTTGGATGTCTACTAATTGTTAATTTAGTATGGGAAAACATGGTTCATTTATAAGTTGAAATTGGTTTTGAACTAGCTTCCAGTAATTCCGAGTACTCTTAGATCGATACCTTGTGTTTTATGTCTTGTCAGTTTTGCCGGTCCTATGTTAGGAGTCTTTAATGCAGTTGTTGTCGTTGGTTTCTGTCTGTCATTTTTATTTTTCAATTATTGTTTTTAGCATACATCAGGCTGTTGGGTCTGCTTGGTATCTTTTATGAATTGTTTCAGTCACACTTTGTCATGCCGGATTATCCAAACTTCTGGTTGTGAATGGTCAAGAAACACGTGTCTTGCGTATGGAAATTGGTGTCATTCGTGTTTTTCTAGAAGTAAACTGGATAGACCTTTTTGAAATTGTTCTGATTATATTTTTTTTCCTTTCTCCACCTTTTGATGGTGCGGTTTTGTTTTCTTTAGCAAGATATCGAAAATATTTTTGGTACATGATATTGAACAGTGAATACGCTGTCGCAGTTATCACTACTCCTTCACACATTTATGTTTCCAAATTTATTGTTAAATCCTCAGAATGTTCTGTCCAACTTTGACCGAAACGATCTGGTGACTCCATATGATTTCAGTTCCTGTGTTTGACATATGGGGTATATAAGTGCATAACCATTAAGGGATTGAGACCTAGGGTCTTTTCATTTGAGGTACTTGATCCATCGAAAGGAATTTTAGGTGAAGGTCAAGATCACATTCTTATTTTAAGTTTGCTTATTATCGCTAACAGTCAGAAATCGAGTTAAAAAAGTTATCGAGAACAGATGCTTATCAAATTGTTCGTTACGACATCAATAAAGTTGGGTCAAAGTGCTTTGGTGACTTTTTATAGGACTTATGTACCTTAGATATTTGAAATGATCTCTTTGGCAGACAAATCCAAAACCAAAAATAATAGAGACCTATGGTTTTTTTATTTAAGATCCATGATCGATTATCTTGAATTTGAGGTCAAGGTTAAATGTATATTTGACTTCTAGATTATGACCTTTGCTATAACTTCATATTTGTATATGATAAAGCCATAGCTTTTTTTACATTGAGTTGGAATACATACGACTATAAAAACACTGTTAACCGGAAGTAGCTATTTTTGAAATAACTTCAGGTTTATGTAGATATAAGAAGATGTGGTATGAGTGCCAATGAGACAACTCTCCACCCAAGTCAAAATTTATAAAAGTAAACCATTATAGGTCACAGTACGGTCTTCAACACGGAGCCTTGGCTCACACCGAACAGTAAGCTATAAAGGGCCCCAAAAAATTACTAGTGTAAAACCATTCAAACGGGAAAACCAACGGTCTAATCTATATAAAAAACGAGAAACGAGAAACACTTATGAACCACATCAACAAACGACAACTACTGAACATCAGATTCCTGACTTAGGACAGGTGCAAACAAATGCAGC